GGATAAAACCCAAATACCAAAGATCAAACTCTTCCTTTGGAAAACTTTCAATAACCTTCTTCCATTCCCAAATAACATGTCCAGATTCAACATGGCAATCCCTTCAAGATGCAACTTCTGTAAACAAGGCACTCAGGACTCTAACCACACTCTCCTTCAATGTCCATACTCTCTGAAAATCTGGAAATTCTTCTCCACACTGTTCCAGGGCCCTCCCATCAACGGAAACTCCACAATACAGGAAGTATGTATGAACTCGTGGCTAGTCACTTGTAGAACCAACATGCGGGAGAAGCTCACTGCCAACCTCCCAGGATTCATTGTGTGGGGCCTGTGGAAAGCATATAATGCAGAGAAATACGAAGGAGAGGCGTTTAAGGAAAGCAAGATCATATTTAACATTATGACAACGATTCAACAGTGGTGCTGGGCACATCATGGAAAGAAATGGATGATTATAGATGAAGATATGAGAACTATAGGTCTTCAGTCTTCTATTCATAGAAGAATATTCCCATAGTTTTCTCTATTGTAGCATCATTGTCGTACTTTGGCTGGGAAACTTGTTTTATCCTACCCGCTCTTATTTGTAACCTCTTTCTTATTCCCTTTAATAAAATACACATCTATAATATATATATATATATATATATATATATATATATATATATATATATATATATATATATATATATATATATTAAAGTAACTAGAAATTTATTAAGTCAAAGAAAAGGTACAAAGAGGGGAGGACCACACCAAAGCCCCTCCTGAAAAGAAACATTCTAATAACAAATAGAAAGGAGAGGAACAAATACAAACGACCCTTAGCCCAGGAAACATCAAGGAAACTAGAAACCAAAGACTACAACATCCTGAAATTGAGCTGTTATTGAAGAATTTTGCAAGACCCTGTCAATGTCTTGCCCATCCACATGTCTCAACGGTGTAGAATCAATCACATTCCCTATAGTCATCCCATTGGAGAATGAAGATGAAAAATACAACTCCTCCCACCAATATGGTGCATATTTTGTTGTTGGAAACTACCACAACTTTTAGTACTTGAAACAAAAAGGACATCACTGTCTAGCATTCCAGTATCTCCAGTCACAATTTCGAATAGAAAGTAGGAAGAGAAAACCATCCAAAACTGCCCAGTATCAAACTTTAACTAAATTCTTGATTGACTAGAGAAAGCCAATATTAGAATTACCTGAACAGCTCCCTGAACTGAAATTTTTGGTGGTGATACTTCAAGCAGTAGCTTTATTCCCCTATGAGAAACTATTTAACCAATCTACTGCTTTTCCCCGCTGTTGTGAGCCGTGACAGCCTCTGCATCGTAGTTTGAGTAGGCCAAGAAAATTGGGTATTTAGTGCCCTTTATGCGTACCAAATCCACATTTTCCATACTTTTAACAATCTCCCTTGTTACCCTAAAAGTTACCTCTGCGCTGTCTTCGAGTAGACCCATCTTAAGAAGCTTTAAAAGTTCTCTTTGTGCAAGTTTTTCCCGAATATAGTCCTATGTTTCTCTAAGGACAGCCTCAAAGTAGCTTTGGAAAATTGGAGCAAAAACCTTTCCAGCATCAATCTCTTCCTTGGACATGCCATCTACCCCAGCTTCCCCTTTCTTACATAAATTTTGATAGTCGATCCCCTTCTCGGCGTGTTCTATATCCCTTTCTAGTATTTTGGTTGAGATTGAAATCCTCTGCACTTGCTCTTCTTCCTCGTTTCTATCAAGTAACTGTTCCTTCCCAGTGTCATGTTCCAGCCGAGGTAATGTGGTATCATTGGCCACCAAAGCTTCCATTTCTTGCTTCTCTTCCATTTCCTCTCCTAATCCCCTTTCATCAAGGAAATTTGTCAAAATTTTAAGGGCCCTGAGAAATAGTTTGAAACCTAAGCTTGAAGTTCCAATTGGTATGAATATTTGCTGATGGGATCCCTCTCTTGTTTGCGAGATGCGAATAAAGTCACAATTAAGTGAAGATTCCCCCTCAAACCTGTTGATCAACCATCCTCGTCTTTGGGTGTTCAGATTTTCAATTAACCATAAGCACACAGATTGGGATATATATATATTTAAAGTAAAATTTTATTAAAAAGAAGAAAAAAAGAAAGTACAAGTGTAGAGGGGTGGCCAAACCCAACATAAAGTCCGAAAGCAAAATAGAAGAATATATATATATATATATATATATATATATATACACACACACACACACACGGATGGTATGACTGCACAAAATGCTTACTGTGTAGGAAATACAATCAACTTGGATGAATTTCCAGTACTCACAAGACAAAATATAATATTGAGGAGGATGTACACACTCCAACCGAGAATGTGGAGCCGGTTGTACACACTCCAACCGAGATAGAGAAGGATGACACAACAGGGACTATAACACTGATGGCTGAAGATACAACAAAGGAAACCACATCACCAAACATTCCAGATACCAACATAGGTCCGATCCTCCACTCTTTTGAGCTTGAAGGTCAACATTATGAAATTAGGTCTTACAATGAGGAAGGACAAACTATAACGAAAGGACGTCAAATATATTTATATATATTTATATATTTATTGAAAGGAGGTATTTTATTAAATTGCAAAATAAAGAAAAGAGTAAATTCTATAATTGGTCCTTAATAACAGGGGGGGGTTTCCATATTTAGTCCTCTATTATCAAATATTACCCCCGTAGTCCTTTTTTTAAGGGTTCCTTTCCACAAATGGTCCTTTTTTGATCTTCTGCCGTGTTGGTGTTAATTTAAAGGCTAAAAATATAAATCTTCAAGCTCAAAAGGTAACATGGTTGGCCCAGGGATTGATAAATCTGAAGGGTTGGCCCATGTTACCTTCTCACCTCTTGTCTCTAAGTTCTGGGAAGAGAACCCCAATTATGGAGGCATGTCTTAATGAACTCCAAAATGCAAGTCTTAATGAGATATCCTTCTGGAAGCAAAAATCCCACCTAAATTGGTTGGAGCTAGGAGATAGAAATTCTAAATTTTATCAATCCTATGTCAAGGGGAGAAGGAAACAGCTCATAATAGGAAGAATTAGAAGGGGTGAAGGTTCTTAGACATAAGACATGGAGGAAAATCAAAAAGCTGCTGTAGAACACTACTCCAAACTCTTCTGCTTCCCCGGTATTCAACATTTCTGAGATACTCAGGAACATCCCCCATAGTCCCATACCATCTCAGATGAGGATAATGCTATGTTACATCTAGATATGAAGGAGATTAAAGCAGCAGTTTGGGACCTTATGGTCCAGATGGATACAATGGGGAATTCTTCCAGAAAGCTTGGCACATTATTGGTCATGAGGTCAGTATGGCAACTAAAGAATTTTTTCTTGGCTTGTTTGTTCCCACATGTTATGGAACTACTTGGCTTACCCTAATCCCCAAAAAGGAAGATGCAGCTGATTTTGAGGATTACAGGCCAATTTCTCTTTCCAATTTTGTAAGCAAAATCAACACCAAGATTCTGGCAAACAGGCTACTTAATATCTTACCCAAAATCATCTCTCCACAACAAATTGCTTTTCAAAAAGGGAAGGATATTGCTGATCATATTCTTTTAGTGGAGGAAATGTTTCATGAGTTAAACAGAAAAGTTGAAGGAGGAAATATGATCATTAAGCTGGATTTGTCTAAAGCCTTCGATAGAATGAGCTGGGAATACCTGGAAAACCTTCTAGGGGCTTTTGGTTTCAATGAGTACAACAAGAAACTTCTTCTAGCTAATCTGAAGGCAACAAGTTTCTCAGTCCTAATTAATGGTACTCCTTCTGGGTACTTTTAAATGACTAGAGGGGTCAAGCAAGGGGACCCTCTTTCACCCCTGCTGTATATTATTGGACTTGAGGGCTGTAGCAGGCTTATCAACACTCTTCAAAGCTCAGGATATATCTCTTCTTTCAATGCTGGTAGGGTCTCTATTTTTTCACATCTATACTAGCCTATGCTGATGATCTAGTGCTCTTCACTAATGGGAAAATCAGAAATCTTATTAGGATCTCCAACACCATTCTCTGCTTCCTACAAGCTTCAGGACAACAAGTCAACCTTCAGAAGAGCAGATTCCACACAGCCTCTAACTCTACTCCCCAAGAAATTCTCAACAAGGAAAAGGCTCTAAAGATTCAGCATGACAAAGATCACCTAGCCTATCTGGGGATTCCTATAAGCAGAGGGATTCTGAGAAAAGAAGAATGTGCCTATGTTATCAAGAAATTTGATAATCTGCAGTCTTCCTGGTACAACTTTCCTGGTACTAACTCGACGAAGCAATAACAATACGTAAGTTTGGGTTTGGTTATTTTGCTTGATTTTTACACACACAAAAAGCTGAGCGGAAGGTTAATGTTCTCATTGGTTCAATTGTATATACAAAATATGTGTCAAGTGCCTAACAAACATCTAGAAGATTCTTAATAATCTTAAAGATATCGTATATAAAATCAATTGCAGAGAGTTTAGTTTTTTTATATAATACTTTCATTTTCATTATAACATCAAAGTTTTTTATATTTAAATATTTTAACTACTCACTTTAATTTTTAATATTATATAATTCTATATTAGGATTAGTTATTGGTGTTTATATTCTTAGATTTTTTAAAGTTTATAATATGGTTAAAATGTTTAGTTAATAGTTAAGAAAAAAACTGTAATTGACTAGAAATTTATTTGCATTTTTGTTTATATGATTTTTATACATATCACATATACTCATATAAATAAAATGAAGCATATAAATAAGTTCGGTTTGGTTTTTCAAAGCAAAAACCTAAACGGAACCAATCAATAACGGTTTGGTTCGGTTTTTTACATTCAGTTTCGGTTTTTTCGGTTCGGTTTTTTTCTAGCCCATTTTGATCGATTTCGGTTCAGTTTTTGGTTTTCGGTTTTCCCGACCCAGCCCTAGAATAAATATAGCATATGTTATTAGGTTAGCTTTTGGACTGGGCCGGGAGAAATAATTAAATGATGTTAGGCTGAGTATTTTTTAATATTGGATTGATATGGCCAATAATCCTTTTTAGTTTAAAAAAATAAAAATGCTTATTAAAACTTTAAATTTCTTTAAAGGTTAATCATTAAATTTTTTTATAAATTGGATTTTTTTAAAAAGATTGAATTTTTTTAATAAATAATAATATTATTACAAGTATATATGTACAAAATACGATGCACTTGTGCTCTTCCCAGATTCACGACCCGTTAAGTTTATCACAAACAAAGATCTCCTCTTCAAAGAAATTCCTTGAGTGACGTTACAAAATGTTAGTTCTTTATGTTGTTTTACCTCCATACATAACTATTTGTTCAGATTAAGTTTTTTTAGAAATTTGTTTTTGGCGTTTGCTATATATTTAATTAAATTATATATATTATATTAAAAAAATAATATAATATTTTGAAAATAAGTGATATAATAAATGTAATAAAAATCTTTTTGTTTCAATTTCAAATTTCATTTTTAATGTATTTGAGGTCAAAGTTTGACATTTTTAACAGAAAAAGACAAAAATTGATAAATACTAGGCGACGGATAGAGTATCTTTTATAAGTATAAATAATATTGAAGTTCCGACCTCTGTTTATTCAAAATATATTGTCTTAAAATCTATGGAAATATAATTTCCTTTTTGTTGTTTTTATTTAGTTGACTGTACCACACAACTTACACCACATACGAAGTCACAAAAGCTTAAACAGGACCGTCACCAGAGTACCATATCATGAATAATTTTCTTGAAGTGCCCGTGTTATATAGTTTTGAACAACCAAAATAAGTGTGGTTAAAGACCACATCTCTTGTAGTGAAAGGTTGGCTATTACATTATGCACTTTATGTATACTAGAGTAGATAAATGCTTAACTCGACGTAATTCTCACCATGCATTTCATTACTTACCATTGTTATAGATTTTAAAAATAGCTTGGTAAATTCAGTATAATTATTATTCTAAGTTTTTCCTAAACAGATAAGTTCTTGGGGAGACACCGTGTAGTGAGAAATCATAATAATTCCTTTGCTGACTTTTTGGAACCTTCGACATCTAGGAATCCGGAACGTCTTGATATGACTCATGACTACACCAAGGGTTCATAAATATTTTGTTTAATATACACACATTTATAACAAATTAAATTTTCATACATAGATTCTTTTGAGTTTTTTTCCTAATTTAGTGTTTTGTTAGAGAACTTTGTTGGGCAATCACTATTAAATGATGTCGATGATCAAGGGCATATTGAAACAACAACATTTAAATACAATTTGAGCAATGTAACGATAACTTTTAGCATGTCAGATCGTACAAGTCTCCCTTCCTTACAACTTTATTTTAAATCATTCTTTATTCTTTAATCTTAATGTATGCCATATAATACTAATACATCTTTCAAACATTCAGAATATTTTGATAATGATAATTCATCATATCAATGCGAGCATTGTGGAGCTAGGTTTTGGTATGAAGAGAGAGTTAGGGGTTATGGCAAAAAATTACGACTGAAGTATCCCTTGTGTTGTAGAAATGGTAAAGTGGCATTGCCATCTTTATTGCCACCTCCTCAACACTTACAAGATTTATTCTTTGAAGCCACTACAAAGAGTAATTATTTCAAGAAAAACATTCGTGCATATAATAATATGTTTTGTTTCACTTCCATGGGTGGAAAAATTGATCATACCATGAATAATGGAGGAGGTCCACCTACCTACAGTCTGAATGGCCAAAATTATCATAAAATTGGGACATTACTTCCACAAGAAGGTCAAAATCCTAGGTTTGCGCAATTGTACATATATGATACATCGAACGAGATCAACAATAGAATAAAATCTAACAGGTACATGTATAAATTAATATATTTGTAATGCATTTTTAAAGAACAACTTATTAACATTATTTTCTATGTGCAGAATCAAGTTTGATGATAGAAGAAATTTTCATGATAACATTGTTAAGGAACTATATGCGCTATTAGATGAATATAATATACTGGTCAAATCTTTCCACATGGCATGCGAAAAGTTATTGGAAGGTGAAAGCTCAAAATGTGAAACTAAGGTTGATTGAAAAAAGGGGAGGTGATGGAAGAACTTATAACTTACCTTCTTTGGATGAGGTTGCAGCATTACTCGTGGGTAGCTTTGACGAAACAATGGGTAGTCCTGATATCATTGTTCAATGAGAGAGATGAAACCACAATGTATTAGTGAAATGCATCCTTCATATCTCCCCTTGCAATATCCTTTATTGTTCCCTTTTGGGGTAGATGGATACAGACATGAGATCTTATTGGCTAGCCTAAATGTAGATGAAGATGAAGACGAGGATGAAGGCAAGAAATATGTAAGTATGAGGGAGTATTTTGCCTATTGTTTACAAGATAGGGTTACAGAGATTTCTCTCATCCTTCATTCAAAGCGTCTCTTCCAACAGTTCGTAGTGGATGCATATACCATGGTTGAGTATTCAAGATTAATATACATTCTCACTCATAAAAAAGAACTCCGTTGTGAACTATATAGTGGTCTCACTGATGCTCTATTATGAGGAGAGAGGAATGCTGCATTGCAAGGGCGGGGTATCCAAATTTATTCATCACATTCACGTGTAATCCAAAATGGCCTGTAATAACAAGACATGTACAAAGTAAAGGACTTAACCCGGAAGACCGTCCAAATATTTTGGGTTGTGTCTTTAAGATGAAGCTGAATATGCTAACTACCGATCTCCGCAAGAAAGAAGTTTTCAGTAAAGTTAGAGCAGGTATTATATTTCACTATAATATATGTCATCAATGTTTCTTTATAAAAATTTGAGAAAAAAAAATCAAATATTTTTATGGCATGTTTGGGAACTTGAATTCGGATTTCAAATCCGGATTTGGTTCAAATTACATGTTTGGGAATATTCAAAATCTGGATTTGAGGCAAATTCTTCTAATTCATTACAAGGTTCAATTGCAAATCCATGTCTCCCTTGTCATTTGAAATTCAAGATTTCAAATTTTGGAATTGAAATGCAAAAATTGAAATGAAATGCTAGTTCCCAAACACTACCTTAGTTCATTTATATAGAAATTATTCTTTCCTTGCAATTATATACACAATTGAGTTTCAAAAACGCGGACTCCCACATGCCCATATTTTGTTATTCATTAATAGGGACCAATCGGGTATTTCTACGGATGACATTGCACTACGTCAAAAACAGATGCTGACAACTGTTTCTTTTAGTAGTCTCTCGGTGCTGATTTCAGTAGTCTTCCGAGCAGCTGTATGATATATTTACAGACTATTGTTTAAAAACAATTGTGTAAAATGGTTGACGACACCTGTTTTGTAATGTTTTAGAGTACCACCTTTTAGTGTTGTCCTTGTATGAGTAAGACATCTGTTTTTTAAAGTTAAAGAGAACTGTGATTTTTTGTTGTCTATCTATAATGAATACTACTGTTGTTTTTAACTTCAGACTCCTAATTCTTAGTGTTGTCGTTCAACAATATAGACATCTACTTTAAAAAGTAATTGAAAGATATATCAGACTGCTGCTCGGAAGACTTCTAAACAAAAATAGCATTAGACAACTGTTATCTTTTGTTGTATTTCTAGAATATGGACTACTAACATTATTCTTATTCAAACTACTGTTTGTTTTAGTTGCATATTGATTATTAACACAACGCTTATTTGTAGTTTTCCTTGAAGTATTCAAACTATCTTTTATGACAGTAGTTAACTTGTTTATCAAACAACTACTCTAAAGATTACTAAAGAAATTTGCTTCAGACAACTATTATTTCACGTTGTATTTTAAAAATATGAACTACTATTTTTGTAGTATTTCAAACAACTGTTTGTTTTGATTGTCTAAATGTTATTAACACTACGGGTTTGTGTAGTTGTACATACACTTTTCAAACTATTAGTTTGAATGGTAGTAGAATTTTTTATTAGACATCTGTAATCTTGTGTTTATTATTATATAAATATAAATTCAAAAAATACAATATATTGAACAATATATAAATTCATACATTTAAAATATTATTAATATGAAATAATTTAATATTTACATCATCTTCCTTACAATTTACATATTTTACATGCCTACCTCTTCAATCCATCTATTCTTATGATACGGGTTGTTGCACCTACAGAGGAACAAGTGAGGAACCCAATTCTTGAGAATCTTTGTGGATTGAACTTGAATCTCCCACCTGCCAGCAGAAACCCAATAACTCCTGAAATGATCGTTGTGAATCAAGAACCAATTGTTGGAGACAACCACATAGAACGTATAATCTCTAGCCATTCCATAGAGTTGGTTGAACTTGTTATTGAAGGGACAAGTTCAATGAAGGAGCAGGAGGTGAAATTCCCCATAACAGATAGCTTGATTGTTGGTTTTCACAGCAAACGACAACCTGCTCTTCGAGCAACAAGAGGCTCTTCAATTTGGTATCCAGGAATTTATATGCAAGTTTCAGCATCTATTGCACCTCCATTAATGCCTCATATAAATGTGGAAGAATCTGCTCAGGTGTTCAATGAAAATAGTGAAGTGGAGTTAGCATTACCCGGAAAAAACTATTTTGGTATAGGAATAACATGATTTAAAAAAGTGGGGGGTTTTACTTTTTGCATAGGATGAAAGACGTATTCTATAACCCACAAGTATAAAAGAAAGGAAAAAGATGTTAATAACCCACAAGTATACATCATGAAATGCCGTGCAAATTCAATCCTTATCTCATACATGTCATCCTCAAGCTAGTACACAAGTTTATGTTACCTACTACATTTAGCTCAAACTTTGCCGTGCATGTCATTTAGCTCATACATTTACTAAATGCAGTGCATCTAGTACATCTAGTAAATGCCCGTCATCCAAATAATTATCAAATATTCAAAACCACACATGTTTATTTTCTCAAACTTTGTAAAAAGAAAATATGATAGATAAGCCTAGAAATGCAAACCAAACGGGCATTTAATGTGTGAATCTTGTTAAAAGAATTGTACCTTGAACTTTAGGGACTTTAAGTAGTTTACTCAATGAATTCCTAGTACGGGCATATACCTCTGGCCTCGACCAATGCTCAAACGATTCATTCTCAATACACCTTTGTATCAAAACCAAGAATAGTTGAAACTGCTGGGCGCTATGGTTGTAAATTGTGGATTCTTCAGGCTGGCCGGATATTTTCTGCATCAACTGTGTGTACTGGCAATGAAGTACCTCCCATGTCAAGCATAAATGAGCTTCATAAGCTGTTTCAAAACATATTATAGTTCTGTAATCCTTATTCTTATCCAAAAAATACCTTCAACACACACATCTTGGTGAAAGCTTTGTTCATTACTTTGCCCAAGTTCTTGCTATAATGGTTCAAGCCACCATTACAAGCTATAATGGAAGAGAAACATAGCAGAAGGTAGCACACGCCAAGCCCAGGACAGTCCTCAACAGAACAAAAACAATAACAAAGAACATGATCTCAAGACAAATAATATCATGGTATGTTTGGGAACACGGATTCGGATTTCAAATCCAGATTTGGCTCAAATTCCATGTTTGGGAAACTTAAAAATTTTGAATTTGGATTTGAGTCAAATTCTTCTCATTCATAACAAAGCTTAATTTAAAATCCATGCACCTTCCCTTGTCATTTGAAATTTAAGATTTCAAATTTTGGAATTGAAATGCAAGAATTGAAATGAAATGCTAATTGCCAAACACTACCTCAAGGAATTCAAACCTCACAGAGTTAATAATATAAGGTCTCTGTACAGTAATAGGTTGTAGTAACAAAGCTACCGTTATTGGTTAATGCTATCTTGAGTTACCTCTAAAAAAAGAACACAAGATTCCGCTTAGAAATAAAGAAAAAGCTGCAGATTGTTCAAAATAAAACAATAATTCAGTTCAGATATTATTCAAATTCAGCACTTAAAATTCAAAAATCAA